CCATTAGAGACTGCAGTGATTACGAATGAAATATATTTTAGCTGTGAAGCTTTGAGACACTTCATAAAAGAAGCAAAATGCCATGAAAATACTCAAGGAACTTTCAAATAATGGCAAGTATAAGATTTTCCACTGCCCATCCCTTTATTGTAGTGTTTGATGAATACTAATGGACATAACAATGGTTTGGTATATGAAGAAAAAAAAAAAGCCTATCTTCCACTCTTACCTGCCCCCTCTAAGAGAAGTAGCTCCATATATTTAAAACGAATAAAAAATTGGCTGAGATTGATTGACCCTCTGTCATAAGTGGTCCCAGAAGAGCTGGAGTTGCTGCAGTTTCAGTGACTGCCAATTCAGAAGACAGACATGTGACTGCAGCACTGCCATTAAGCCAACCTCAAAATAATGCTGTCGATTTTTACAAAGAGAAAGACAAGGGAAGGAACAGGTATTTGACTATAGTTACTATAAACTCTCGATTATCTATACTAATCAGGAGGAAAAGAGGCATAGATAATGTTAAACAATGGATAAACATCGAATATGTAAATTGGTCGATATCAGCACATGTCCAGGCACTCCCTAATTTTATACACATGTACTTGTCTCTCTGTCCCCTTTCTAGTTCAGTTCCATCGCAAATCGTTCTTTGTAGGTTAGAAGAAGAAAGGGGCCTGGTTCTCTATAACTTACTCATGGATATTGAGAAGTTGATTGGACAGTGTAATATTCTAATTTAAAGTGTAATGTATGATTTTCAAGTCACTTTTAAAGATAAGTTGATTTTATAAGTTAAATACATGATCCTATTACCATAACAGTTGCTATGTTTTGTTATAGAAAAAAAAAATTGTACCAGTGTGAAAGATTAAATCATAAAAACATTTCCCAGAAATCTTTTAAAATAGATTTCAACTTTAAAATCATTTAAAAAACTATACAAGTTTGAGATATCTCTTTAGCAAAAAAAAAAAAAAGTTATATTATTTTCATTGTTAAAGTAACACATATATTCGTTTTTTCTTTTTATAACTATTATTTGGATGTGAATAAAGGGACTCATTGAGAAGTTTAATCTTAAAATTTCTCAGTCCACAGATCATTTCAGCAGACCTGATTCCATTAACTATTAAAAAGCAAAATAAACCACCATTAACAACAAAATACCTCTCTTTGACAGCATAATTAAAGCCTGCCACTCTCCATTACTTGATCATGTCATTTCCTGATATGAAAAGGGAAGGTTCTTTGTGTGGGAACAGCAAAAGGGAGCCCACAGTAACAAGAATTACCAGTCCTTTCCCATTCTTTATCATGGCCTCCCTTATCTCAGTTGAGAACCTATATGAGATCTCATTGCCTCTACAGCTCAACTGACTTTTTAGCAGAAAAGTAACTCCCAGTAATCCTTACTCTCCACTGTCTTACTCTTCTTACCATGTTGACTGAGAACTTTACCCAGACACCTAGAACTTACATCTCACCCAAAGTACTACCATTATCATACCCCGTCATCTACTGTTAGGTACATAATTATGATTTGTTTTTATATCCAGCGATGCCTATATCAGAATTCTTTTAATAGCACACCATTAGAAAGACTACTGTTTTGGTAATGAAGAAATTTGGATTCTTGTCCTAGCTCTGCCACTAATTAGCTGCGTGTTCTTAGGGAAGTCATTTAACTTCTCTGGGACACAATTTTTTCATTTATATAAAATTCTTTGCAGAGCTAACAACTTTAATTTTATTAGTAAGAAAACATTGTCTGAAAGCCTTGCAATTTTATTTATGACAAAGAGGATCCCAGCCAAAAGAAAAAAAAATCACTATAATCTTCCTTACAGCCCTAATTACAATTTGACACTCCCCGCCTCAACTCCACCCAAGAAGCATTGTTTATTTTAGGAAAATATATAACAGACAGGAAGACAACTGAGTCAAACTTTGTATAATTTCATTCCTCAGTGTTTTCCAGCTATTGACATTCTCCCACACTCAGCTATTCTTACAATTTCTCTTGGTAAGTGGTTTTCAATGATAATCTACCTGGCATTGCCTTCTCTAGACCCAATTTAATGGTGAGCTTTGAACCAAATGATAGTTTCTGCCTGCCCTCTCTCCCCATTCCCCCCAACACAGTGAACTCTGATAACCAGTTCTGCCATTATCATTTACTGACCAACAACCATGCTCCAGGCACTGCTCAAGGAAAATTCAGCATTGCTTGTTTTAATCTTTACCATAACCCTGAAAGGTAAATATTACTTCTCATTTTTAAAATGCATATACAGACAGATTAAAAAACAGTTATGGTCACACAACTATTAAGCGGTAATACCTTGACTTGAATCCATATCTATCTGACTTAGATACCACTCCTCATCAGGTAATTCGTACTAAAGAAAGAATTTAACCTCCTTCTGATTATTCAAAACACAGTTTCGAAAGGAACAGGTCATTTCTTCCTCTAAAACAGGAGATAAGGAAGTAAAGGTGGATGATAATATAGGTATGACTAGAAGGTAAAGAAGTTGAAGAAGTTTATGGTTTATCTCTATTAATGCAGAGAATGAGGAATCTAGAATGCCAAATGAGAAAATCTGTATTATTTTCATACCACATCTTTAAAAATAGTAACTCTGAATGGCTAACTAGTCCCCATTTGTCTCAATTATTGACATCTCATTAAATTTCATATTTAGGCAAAGTCTATAAAAATCATGTCTCCAACTTTTATTTTAAATGTATAGAAAATTTGAGAGAATAGTAAAAATCACAACCTTGTACACCTTTTACCTAGATTAACCCATTGTTACCATTTTGCCATAAATTGCTTACTCTCCTTTTCTTCACAAATGGTTTTGGCTGAACCACTTGAAAGAAAACTACAAACATGACACTTCTCTAAATAATGTAGCATGTGGCTTCTAGGAATAAAAAATATTTTCCCACATAACCACAATAACAAACATAGGAAAATAAAAAAAATCCTTAATATCATTTAATATATAGTCCATATTGAGTTTCCCCTAATTGTTCTAAATAATGTCTTCTTGATTGTGATGCAGTATCTAACCAAAGTTAACATGGTAGACTTGATTATTATGTTCTTTTTAATCTAAGACAATTCCCTTAATTTTTGTTTTAAATTTTTTGTTCCCCATGACTGCCATTTGAAAAGTCCAAACCACTTATCTTTCAGAATGTCTCACACATAAACTGATTTTCTTGTGCTTTGATTCAGTTAAACATTTTAGATTAGAATACTACATTATCTTTCAGAACATCTCATACATAGAATATCTGGTTATTTTCTTATGTTTAGATTCAGGTTAAACATTTTTGATAAGATAATACATATGCAATATTGTGTATTTCTATCAATAGGTACATAGTGTCAAATTATCTCACTATATTAAATTTCATCACTTGATTAAAGTAGTACTTGTCAGAGCTTTGAAAAGGTGCTTTTTCTCCTTTGTAATTTTTCAGTTATCTGTGGAGAGATATTTCTGATACCATGTAAATATCTGTTCCCCAGCAATCCTAAGATCAATGGTTTTAATATTCATTGGTAACCCTTGCCTGAATCAGTCATTATGCTGGGGCTGAAAAATGGTGTCTTTCTCATTAAACTGTACAATTAAAATTAGTGAAATTTATGGTATGTAAATTATAACTCAATAAAACTTTTAGAAAAATAACTCAGTAACTTGCAGTGTAATTTGGTCCATTTCTTGCTAGCATATTTTTTTTCTGCCAAGAAATGACTGAGAGATGCAACATTTTATAAATGAGGTAAGATATAGGGTAAGTTTAATTATTTTAATGATGATTCTCTAATTCTGTCATTCCTTCTACAATTATTAGTTGACATGCTCCTATAAAGACTTTTCCCTGTTCCTCATGTTTCTCTCTCTTTTTTTTTTTTTTTTTGAGTATCACTGTAGACTCATTGGTTTCCCCCAACCCCATTGTATTATAATCCATTGCTGTAATTATTCTTTTTGATGTTTAAGCCATCCTAATTTGGCCAGTAGAAGCCCATTCGAGCACAAACTTGTGTTCTTATATAACCTCCTTAGTCTTTAAACAATTTTTGTTTTCTGGCATAAAAAGTCCCAAATCCACCCTGTGCTTTCCCTGCCTGAGACCTGAGATCAAATATTTCCCCAAGAAGTCTTGGTTCCTTTTAATGGGAATGGTATTTATAAACCAAAATCTAGGTGCTGGATGTGCGCATTGGTACTGAGGTATGTCACTGCTTCTTGGCCCTTTCCATGAACATAACAAGGAAATAGGAATTCCTACAAATCAAATTCATAATACAAATATAAAGGAAGGAAAGGAAGAATATCTTATATCTCTTTTATCTTTTAATGAAAATCTTGGTTTCTATTATCACTAATATACTTATGCATTTGCTTTATCCTACAATATATATAAAATGATAGCGATGTTATAATATATGTATATAGTATAATTCTGAAACTAACAGTAAACTTCTTAAGAAAGTTTAAGGTTTCTTTGCAGTTCTTGCCGTCATTAAGTTTACATCCTAGTAAGGATGAAACACTATGTTCAAAAGTTATCTGGACTGCATGATATCATACATTAGTTACACAAGTTTGTTTGGTTTTAGTTGGTATCCAATTTTAACATGTGTCTTTCTTCCCATTATTTTTGGCTTAATTCTAATGTTTGAGTATTTAAACTTTTATATAGCTCAAATGTCAAAACTGTATTAAAAGGTATCCTCAGAGAAGTCCTGTTTCTATCCCCTATTTTCATTAGTTTCTAGCTTATCCTTCTGTGTTTCATTTTATAAAAATAAGAAACTACAGTTCTTTAGAACTAATGTAGACATACTACCATTTAAACAACACCCCTATAACTAAGCTCTTATTTGAGTGTATTTATGGTGCATGAAATTTGACTTGTATCATATTTTCTACTTTCGATACAAATAGCTTGGTATACAAATAAACTCCTACCTGAATTCTGGATAATCCATTGTAGAGAGTCCAAATGAGCACTCAGAATTTTGCAGATCTGCTGGAACTAAAAACACAAACAAGAATTTTAGATTATGATTATTCTCATATGATAAACAAAAAATAAATGAAAAACTTGAAATTAGACAGTGACTTTTCATTTCTTCTAGAAGGAAATGGACTGAGAATATATTAAATATTAACATCTTTTTTTCATTATTTCATATTTGTACTGTTCATCACATCTAATTATTTTGCAACTGTCAAGAATCTGATTCCTATAATTCAATAAGAAACTGAACACTACAGTACAAAAACAAGAATATTAAAAGACATTTCACGAGACAATTCATATAACAAAGTTTAAATATTACCTCTAGTCAACCAAATCAACATTTTTATTGTGGTATAAATTGACATATGACATTATGTTAGTTTCATGTGTACAACAGAATGATTTGATATTTGTATATATTGTGAAATGATCACCACAATACTGTCTAGTTAACATCTGTCACCATACATAGTTACAAAACTTATTTTCTTGTGATGAGGACTTTTAGATCTACAATCTTAGCTATTTTCAAATATTCAATACAGTATTATTAACTATAGTCACTAGGCTGTTTATTATATTCCCATAACTCATTTATTTTATAAAGTTTATACCTTTTGACCCCCTTCACCCACTCCTACCCTCCACCTCTGACAACTACCAATCTGTTCTCTGTATCTATGAGCTTCATTTGTTTTCATTTTTAAATTCCACATATAAGTGAGATCATACAGTATTCGTCTTTCTCTGCCTGACTTATTTCATTTAGCATAATGCCCTCAAGGTCATCCATGTTGTCACAAATGGCAAGATTTCCAAATCAGCAATTTTTAATAAATTATGTTGTCAAGTATGTGGTGAAAATAGGCACATTCATATACAGTCAACAGTAATATAAATTGACCCAACCCTTAAAAATATAAATTTTTACAATACATATCAGAAGTCTTAAAAATATTCATACTTTTTAATCCAGTATATTCTACTTGTGGGAACCCATCTAGAAGAACTATTCAAATCTAAATATAACTAGCCATTACAGGGCAATTTTATAATGGCCAAAAATTGGAAACAATATTTCCATCAACAAAAAAAAATATTATATTTATGGTAAAGCTACCTCTAATGAAATATTATAGACATATTTTCAAAGAATGGTTAAAATTTGGGAGAAACACAATAAAAAATATTAAATGAAGACACAATACAAAACTTTATATAGCTATATTTCTAATGCTGTTTAAAATGAAAGAAGTTTTTACCAGCATTGCAAAAAGACTTGAACGAAATACACCAATATGTTAGCAGAGTACTGGTAATATAGGTGACTTAATTTTCTTTACAGATTTCCATATTTTCTAAGCTTAGTACACTAAATAAGTATATTCTAATAGTAACACTGTAATAAAAATTCTAAACATTTAATAAAAAAATTGTAACACTTTTAATGAATAGTATAGGAAAGTCCAAGATAACACTGAAAATAAGAAAAAAGGAAAATGTTTCCATACCTAAAAGAACAGTGTGTAATGATGACGGCAAATTTAGTAAGAGTCTAATATAACGAAAACTATATAACTTATAGTAGAGGCAGTGAGTTTTTATAAGAAAATGTGACCGAACATCATACACTCTAATATGGACATATTTAATAAAAATATTAGCTATTTATCTCCCCCTAAAAATGGTCAAAATAAAGAGGTAAATCCTGTCACTGTGAATACTTTTAAACATAGTTGCTCTTTTTCTACCCTGGTATATGGCTCACGGTAATGAAGCTTTGTTGATTTGCTTACAATAAATTATCTACAAGAATATTATTGTTTGGCAAATGTTTTCTCTGCTTACTGTCTAATAATTTATGCTTTCTGAGAAAAGAGATGAATTGTTGCTGATCTCTTGCTTATTTTGTCCTGCTCTCAAGCAGTAATTATCCTTTAATTCGCCCATCTTAAACATCTCAATCACCCTTGCCAGGAAAAATGAAAACAAAAGACTAAAACCGTTTACTCCCCACTACTAAAATAAAATAAAACAATCCAAGGCTAAGTAGAGAAAAAAAGATAAGGATAGAATTATAGTCTCCTTTTACTTATTCTGTTCAGAATACTTCTCTTCTTTTAATTCAACACAGAGAGAGACTAGACATTAGCTCTGCCACATGTCTAAATCTGCATATACTTATATGTGTATTAAAATTCTATTACAGCAAAAAACAATTTCGAATTTTGGAATCACAACAGTGATCTAATATTTCATTAAAAAGAAAATCTGTATTCTGTCAACTCTTGATCATCTGTGTGAACACAGGAAGATGGTAGCATGGATAATCCCAGACTAATTTATATTTGTCTTTGTTCAACTTTAGATTCACCCAAAGTAGAGAATGGAGTAATTTTTATAGCTGGAGGGGACTTCAAGATCATTTTGTCTACCTTTGACATTTTGCAAAAGAAGGAGCCAAGACCCAGAGAGATTAAGTGACTTCAATGAAATTCTTGTGCTTTCTCAACTACATTATATTAATAATTATAAAGAGACAACCATGCTGTCTCTTTATAATTATAAAGCTAGTAATATGTATGTAAAGAACTGTCTGTATATAATTGGACAAAGAGCTTACTAAAGAATAATTACCAGTTTTTTTATATGTCATGTACCCAAATCCTGGCCCTACTCCTAATTATAATCAACTGATAGAAAGCATGATGGGAGCTCCCACAGTAGGCAATTCCTCCTACTATTACTGCCATGGGGTGGGAGTGGGGAAAAGGAGGATTCCATTTAAATGCTAGGACAACAAGGAAAGTTAGAGTAAATAAACTCTTTAATTAGAGTATAGATAAAGGTAAAAAAGGAATCTTTTTTTTAACTGCCAAATTCATTCAAAATTTCTCAGCTCTGTAATTGGAGCCTCAGCTGTATATTCCCATGCTATAATATGTTTACATTATGACTTAAGTAGGGGCAGGTGGAAACCTAATAACTCTATGTAACCAAGTTTCTATGGAAAAATGCATTTTAAGTTTCAAATAGTTGACTTATCAAACTTTAAGATATAACCTAATCATAAATTAAGGATTGCCTGGATATACATAACAGACTCAAACATATATACTCACATTTATATAAATATGTAGATAAACCTGTAAAAGGACGAATGAACTAGCTAATGAGTAAGTGAATAGAAAAATAAGTATAGGTACCGATTTAGTTATGTGAAGAACAGGTGAAAACACCAAAAATTTAGGAAGGGAAGTCATTTTTTTACCATCCTGGAAATAATCACAAAAAAACTCATAACATGTTCTGCTGCTAAATATTTCCTGTGCCACTAACTACCCCTGAGAGCTTCATATCTCTGGGGGCAGATAAAGATATCTATAGAGGACAGGAGAAGGTGACTAGCTAAAAAAACACAAAATGCTAATTTCATACTAAACCTCGGTTGTCTAAGTACATAAAGCAGTTAACATACCGGGCCAGTAGTGTTAGCAAGTCTTCCAAATATATTCAGGTGCTCAATAATGCCCCTAAGTTCCTGGGTCATTCGTTTCAGCTGAGCATCTACATTTTCTGCTAATTTGTAACTGAAAAGACAGGTAAAATAAAGGGATTAACAACAAATGTTTTCTCCACTGATGTATCATTACTGACATACAAAGATGATATTGCCAACTGGATTTGCCCCAGTTCCCCTACCTTCTCAATGGGTCTCAGTTATGACTAATGGCACATTTTTATGGATGCAGCATTCATGATCTTATTACCATATTCTACAAAGACTCCAGAGGTGAAGTCTTTTATCCACCTTGATATTTTTACAGTCACCTATTTACCCTCTAGATAATGTTCTGAAGCAAAGGAGCTCTAAAACAAAGGAACTCTTTTTGATGTCAAAATAAATGTCCCATATGACATTTAGATAGATATATTAGAGTTATTTGGTGTTTAGCAATATTTATTAAGTGCAGAGATGTCTTCAATGACTTTGAATGCATATATTTTCAAAGTAAAACCTTATATTAATATACTCCATCATCCAACAAAGATGTTTTGAGAAATGAGATTTACAATAATCAAGGGCAGATAAATCCGCTAAGTTCACAACAAATTGATTAATTGGCCAAATTCTCAAGATTTCCACCCAAACTGTTTACACACACACATACAAACATACACACACACAGACAACCTAGTCAATGAATATATTTATGAGATTAAAATGACCAAAGGGTTTTTCAACCTTAATGTCTATAAAAATTAAAGGATTCAATTAGATTGATTAATAACTATCTGCTGTCTTTCTGTTCCAAAGTTCTTGTAGGCAACTAGTTGCCTAGATTGTTGAAGATTCCAGTAGAGAGTCCATCACATTATAAATCTGACTACATAAAAGCAATTGGAAAAAAAAAACAACAACTAATGTTTCAATTATTTCTTCAAATTATAGTTCGGATTTCATGGCCAAAAATACAACTCCATGTGTTTCAAAACAAACAAACAAATAAATAAGCAAATAAATAATAGAATGCATAGAATGCAATGCAAATAAGATTCATAAAAGCTGAACTACAAAAGCAGAAATGGAACAAGGGTCCATACAGTTAAAGCTGTACTTACTACATTTAATGTACCCACAAAAATGTTAACTTGCCAACCTCTTAAAAATAAGCTCAGTCTTTACTCACTAATAAGCCATTTATAAAATGAATCTGATTTAATCTCAATTTAGTTTATGTAGCACATTCATACACATTTTCCCAAGAACACTTTATAATGTGGCCTGATTACCAAATCTCAATTCCAGAGAGAGAAAGTTACTGTGGGAATATTGGCAATGTATCAACCAAAGGTAAGGACTGAATTGCAAACAAATAAAATATATCCAGCCCAAGATATTGACGAAATCATTCAATTTTTGAAAGCTATGAAGTTTGCTCCCAGATTAACAAATTGCCTTTAAAGAGCAAATAATTTATCACTGAAGCAATTGCATGAAAATTAGGTTTAGAAGAGTCAACATAAATAGTAGACCAAAAACATCCCACATTACTATGACAACACACATATAAAATTTGTATTTCTAATTTAAGAACAAACTTGACAAATATAAAAATTTACAGTGGTCATATATAAGCTTGAGATTAATAACAGTCTATAAAATGCCATAAAACAAAACTGTCAGAACGATTATTTTCAAGCATCCTGAAAAGATAAACAGAAAATAGTCAAATAAGCTCATAAATGGCAAGTACAAGAACTTGTCCTTTTCTACCAAATTTTATTGCCTGCCTTTCAATTCCATTTTCTCCCCTTTTTTTATAGTTAAGTCTCAACCCCGTTCCACAATCTTTATTTAGTTACTTACATCCTCTCACAATCCTCATCTTCATGCTGCTGATAAACAGACCCCCTATGGCCCTTCATAGTCACCACTAGAGGAGTCAAGAGATCTTCTAGTTCATTCTGCTGTGACAGGACAAAATCCAATTCTTGTTCCAGCCTGAAAAAAGAAACAAGTGAAGAAAAAGGCTGGCGAAAGGAATTTGAAGTGACAAAATAAGTGTCAATAAACTACAATTAGGAAAAACAAAACAAAACAAAGAGAACTTTAATCTTTCAACCTGGGGAATCTAAGGTATTACCTTTTCTGATCCAATTTTGCTTTTTCCACTTTTCTATATAAAGTAGTAATCTATAAAAAAAAAAAGGATATAATAATGTAAGTATTTAAATTTATATTATAATTTTAAGGCAATATTAATTTTCTCATATACACTTCAAGTATAAAAGAATTCCTAATTCAGGGCACCTATTACCTAAGGAAAATTTTTTTAAGTCGATCACCAATATTGGAATAGAAAATTAACCACAAAACACAGATCTATTCTCATGTTCACCTGAAAATACTTGCACAATGTTTGTAGATTAGTGAGAATATCTTCTTACCTTCTCACCATTCTCGTTCAAAGTATAGTCCCAATCATTGACTTGGGTGGCCTTGTGAATAAAGTACTCTTGATCCTCTAACTCAAGGCTCCATTTGTTTACCAGATCCTCCAGGTGACCATATGTCATCACGGGAGTTACGATTGCACTGAAAAAAAAGGAGGCAGTATGATTATATAATTATACTTTTAATAATATGATCAGATTTTTTAAATGAATAACATACGAGGACTTAGAGAAGAAAATAAGACATGAAGAGTTTCTCAGACCTGCTCCCCAACAAAACCACCACAACTGGAAAATATTATTTTAAAAACAACCATTCAAAGTCTCTGGAAATTATCCTAAGGAAATATAGCAAATAAAGATTTATTACAAAATCTACTAAACCTCAGTGAGAACAGCTGAAATCTGTGCCACAACCTGCTCCCTTCCTTACCCCTCAGCTCAGCACGATGGTAGCTCCATTCTGTGTAAGTGTGGCGAAAGAGCTAGGACTCCCTCTCCACACATGACCGATTTCAGGTCTAAGCAGTACCCTCAAAACTGAATAGGCAGCTGAGGTTACTGAGGTTCCATCCCCCAATAGGCAGAACCAGGCAAAATTCCCATTCCCCCACTAGCTGCTATCAAAAAGGCTGAGCAGATAGCTGATCTTTGATCCCCTGACCAGCGGAACCAGGCAATGTTTTGATTCCTCTGCTGAGACAAGGGTTAGCAGGGTGGGGAGGAGAGGGAATCATCAGTTCCCTGCCCGGCAGAGGCAGGCAATGTTCAATTCCCCTACCAGGGTACTGTCATCAAAATTCAGTGACAAAATGAACCTAAATCCCCACCCAGCAGCAACAAAGCTTTAAAAGGTAGAGCAAGACAGGGTTAGTTACCATTAAGTTCTACCCCTTGTCTTTAGTGTCAGTGGGACCCAATGGGGAAGTAACCTCTATATCCACCTGGCATCACTGAGACTGAACACAGTACTATAATTAGGGGCTGGTAATGACTCCAATTCCCAGCACCCTTACTGTCATCAAGGCTCAGTGGAAAGCTTAACCTCCACATCCATTGGAAAAAAGAAACAAGACTAAATGAGGCAAGACAAAGCAAGGCTAGTCAGCACTCTGTCCCCTTTCTCCCCAGAGCCTGTGTCAGCAAGGCCCAGTAGACAGGGAGCCAAGCTTTCATACCAAACCAGAATCAATGTGGCTGAATAAAGTGATATGAGGCAGAGTAGTTGACATCCTGCTTCCCCTCTCTTCTTGTGTAAGTGGGGCCCAATAAAAAGCCGAAATTCTGCTTCTACCCCACAGGGACTAAGCAGTATCAGTTAGTCCTCTCTTCACTTCCCCTTGTTCCGAGTTCCTGGGGGTCCAGCTGGGAGCTGAGGTCACATTCCCACTTCGAAGCAATAAAGTGGTGTGACACAATGCCCGTCTTATATGGGGAAGATATCAAGAGGGCTGAGGGAGGAGCTGAACTTCCACACCACCCATTTGCATTGAGGCAGTGTGAGTCAGTGCTTTACTTTTGTTGGAGTGGTATGAGCAGGGTCCAGTGGGAAGCTGAACACATGAACACACCCAACTCTTGCACTACACCTCCACAAAAGGATTTGTCTGATTTAAAAAGATTTAAATAAGATGTAGACTCTTCTAACGTAATAGACAAAATGTCCAGGATACAACTGAAAATTACTCATCATATCAAGAACCAGGAAAATCACAACTCAAAAGAGAAAAGACTATAGACGACAACATCGAGAGTTATCAGATGTTGGAATTATCCGGAAAAAAAAAAAAATAAAGCAACCATCAAAGAAATGCTTCAACAAGCAATTATAAATTCTCTGGCAACAAATAAAAAATAGAAAATCTCAGCAAAAAAAATTAGAAGTTATGAAAAACAATCAAATAGAAATTATAGAACCGAAAAAATAAAATAACTGAAAAGGCTCACATGAAGGGTTCGACACTAGAGTGGAGATGACAGAGGACAGAATCAGTGAACTGGAGGATAGATCAATAGAATTTAAAGAACAGCAGAGAGAAAATAGGCAAAAAAACTGAAAAAAAATCTCAAGGACCTGGAGGATAGTAATAAAAAGTGGTAATATTGATATCATTGGAGGATGATACATTAGAGAAGAGAGAATGGAATTAAAATAGTATTCTGAAAAATAAAGGTTGAAAATTTCCCAAATTTGGCAAAAGGTATAAACTTATAGATTCGAGAAGTTGAGCAGACACCAAACAGAATAATTTAGAGAAATCCATGCGAGGACATGCACAATACATAAAATTCTGAAAACTAAAGATAAAGAAAAAAGTCTTGAAAGCAGCCAGAAAGAAAGAACACATTACTTAAAAGGGAATATCAACTTGAATGGCAGCAGATTTCTCATCTTAAACCATGGAGGCTAAAAGGATGTGTAACAACATTTTTCTTTCAATAACTGAAAGAAAAAAAAGAACTGTACCAAGATTTCTATATGCGGTGAAAATGTCCTGCAGAAATGAAGAGAAAGTATTCTCATGTAAAATAAACTTAAGACAATTTGTAGCTAGCAAACCTACCCTTGAAGATCGGCTAAAAAGAAAGGAAATGAAAATAGAACTCCTGAATTTCATAAATGAAAGAACATCAAAATGAATAGAAAGTGTAAATATAACTATTAAACTTCTCATGAGTTTCTTAAATCATATTTGATGGTTGAAGCAAAAAGTATAATACCATGTAATGTGGTGTTCAATGTACATGGAGGAAATACTTGAGAAAATTATACTTAAAAAAGAAGATTAAAGGGAACTAAACTGAAGTAAGGTTTTACATTTCACCCAAAGTGGTAGAATGTCAATATGACTAGACTGCTATAAGTTATTGTAATACCTAGAGCAACAAGTAAGAAAATTATACAAAGAAATATACTCAGAAATACTAAAAATTGGACAACGTGGAACCCTAATAAATGTTTGAATAACTGAGAAGACGGTTAAATAAAAGAGAAACAGAAAAACAAAAACAAAGGTAACAAAAAAATAATAAAGCAGCAGACTTAAGCCCTAACATATCAATAATTATCTTAAATGTAACTGTGCTAAAAATCAACTTGAAATGGATTAAAGACTTAAATGTAAGACCAAAACCATGAAACTCCTAGAAGAAAATATTGGACTAAAGCTCCTTGAGACATGGGTCTTTCTAATGATTTTCTGGATATTACAACTAAAGAATAAACAATAAAAATAAAAAATAAATAAGTGAGACTATGTCAAACTAAAAAAGCTTCTGCACAGCAAAAAAAAAATCAACAAAATGAAAAAACAATCTAAGAAATGAGAAAAAATTATTTGGAAATCATATATCTAATATGGAGTTAATATCCAAAATATACGAAGAGCTCATTTAACTCAAGAGCAAAATAACAAATAACCCAATTTAAAAAAATGGGCAAAGGACCTGAATAGACATTTCTCCAAAGAAGATATACAAAAAGCCAACAGGTACATAAAAAGATGCTCAATATCACTAGTCATTAGGGAAATGCAAGTTAAAATCATGATGAGATATCACTTCACACCAATTAGAATGGCCATCAACAAAAAAGACAAGCTAACAAATGCTGGCATGGATGTGAAGAAAAGGGAACCCTTGTGCATTGTTGGTGAAATTCTAGATTGGTATAGCCACTATGAAAAACCGTATGGAAGATCCTAAAAACAATTAAAAATAGAACTACCATATGATCCAGCAATTCCACTTTTGGGAATGTATCCAAAGGAAACAAAAACACTAACTCAAAAAGATATCTGATCTCCCCAAGTTCATAGCAGCATTATTTACAATGGCCAAGACCTGGAAACAATCTAAGTGTCCATCGATGGGCAAATGGATAAAGTGATCAAAAGATACAAACTTCCAATTATAAGAAAAGTAGTACTAAGGATGCAATGTACAATATGATGACTATAGCTAACACTGCAGTACGATATATAGGAAAGTTGTTAAGAAAGTAAATCCTGAGTTCTCATCCAAAGGAGAATTTAAAATTTTTTTTTCCTCTTTTCTTTTCATTGTGTCTATAAGAGAAGATAAATGTTAGCTGAACCTACTGTGGTAATCAGTTTACAATATATGTAATTCAAAACATCATGCTCAGTATGCCTTAAATTTAAACATTGATGTATATCAATTGTTTTTCAATAAAACTGGGAAAAATGTAAATGTGCTAAATATACCAACTAAAAGACAGAAATTGGCAAATTGGATAAAAACATTATGATCCATCAATATGCTGTCTACAAGAAATTCACTTAAGGACACAGATAGGCTGAAAGTAAAATGATGAAAAAAGATATACATGCAAGATTATTTTTTTAAAAAAAATGGCTATATAAATATTAGAAAAAGTCAGTTTTGGAAAAAAAAAAAAAAAAAAAAATTACCAGGGTCAAAGAGAGACATTATCTAAGATGAAAGAATCAAAGCACCAGGAAAGTCAAGAATCCTAAACATGTAAGCAACCAAATGGCAGAGTCTCAAAATACATGTAGTGCAATTGATAGAGCTAAAGGAAGAAACAGGTAAATATGTAATTACAGTTGGAGACTCAAAAAGCCACTCTCCACAACAGAAAGAAGCACTAGAAAGAAAAGCAGAAAGGATACAGATCTGAAAATACAATGAAGCAACAAGATCTAATTATCATTTATTGAACACTCCACTCAACAGCAGAAAACACAACTTTCAGGAGTCCATGGAATATTGGCCAAGAAAGACCATATCCTCATCCATAAAACAAACCTAAGAAATATAAAAGAACTAAAGTTATACAGAGCATGTTCTCCAATGATAATGGAATCAAACTAGAAACCAACAAGGAAATAAAAAAAGAAAATCTCCAAATACTTGTAAATCAAATACACTTCTATATAATCTATGGGTCATAGAGCAATTCATAAAAGAAATTTTAAAAGCTCAGTTGACCTTGAACAACATGGAGGTTAGGGGCAACAACCCTTCATGCAGTTGAAAATATATGTATAACTTTTGACTCTCCCAAAACTTAACTACTAATGACCTACTCTTGACTGGAAGCCTTACCAATAACATAAACAGTTAACACATATGTTATATTTTGTATGTTATATGTATTATATACTGTATTCTTACAATAAAGTAAACTAGAAGAAAATGTTATTGAGAAAAATAAGGAAGAGAAAATACATTTACAGTTTTTATTTTTTTAAAAATCCACATATAAGTAGACCCATGAAGTTCAAACGAGGTTGTTCAAGGGTCAACTATACATAGAATTGAATGAAAATAAAAATACAATATAACATAATATGCACACAGCTAATGTACTGCTGAGAAGGATATTTATAGTACCAAATACTTATATTAGAAAAGAGGAAAGGTCTCAAATCAATAATCAAAGTTCATACCTCAAATAACTAGAAAAAAGAACAAAACAAACCCAACATAATCAGAAGGGGAAATAATAAAGTGTAGATATTAATAAAATTAAAAATGAAAGCAATAGACCAGTCAATGAAATAAAAGCTACTTTATTTCACTGGGAAAAGATTAATAAAATTTGTAAAAGAAAGGTACAAATCACCAATATCAGAAATGAAACAGGAATATGTCTATAGCTATTAAAAGGACAAAAAGGGAATACTATGAGCAACTTTACACTCATAAAGTTGATAACTTAGAAGAAACAGACCAATTCCTTAAAAACCATACACTACTAAAACTCATAGAAGATGAAACAGATAGCCTGAATAGTCCTAGAACCATTGAAGAAATCGATTTACAACTTAAAAGGCCCAGAGGTTTCACTGGAGAATTCTGCCAAACATTTAATGAATTAATACCAATTTTCCACAATTTCTTTTATAAAATATAAGAGAGAGAAATACTTCATTTTATGAGGCCAGAATTATCTGGATTTATATAAAAACCAGAATTAGAATTTAAAAAGAAAACTAAACTACAGACCACTATCTCTCATGGACTTAGATATAAAAGTTCTCAAGCATAATACTAGAAACTGAATCTAAAAATATATATAGACCACAACCAAGTGGTTATTTATTCCACATATGCAAATCTGGTTCAACATTTGAAAATAAATCAGTGTAATCCACCATACCATCAAGCTAAAAATGAAAAAGCTTAAATTAAGCATTTAACACAAATATGTCTAGTTGATTTTTGAGAAAGGTGCAAAAGCATTTAAATGGAAGAAGATAGCCTTTCAACAAATGATGCCGGAAAATGATGGGCATCCCTAAAAAAAAAAAAAAAAAAAAAAAAAAAAAAAAATTCAACCTAAAACTCATACTTTATACAAAAATTAACTCAAAATGAATCATGAGCTTAAAATGTGAAATGTAAAACTATAAAACTTATAGAATGAAAATAGATAATCTATGGTATCTAGAATTAGGCAAAGAGATCTTATATTTGACACTAAAAGAATAATCCATTAAAGGGAAAATTGGTAAATCAGACCTCATCAATTAAAAGTTTTTGTATGGTAAAATACGCTATTGAAAAGATGAAAAGGCAAGTTATGGAGCTAGAAAAAAGTTTTATAAACCACATAGCTGATAAAGAACTGGTATCAAGAAAATATAAAACTCTTAAAATTTAATAGTAAAAAAAAATTGAAGTAGAAAAAATACAAAAGACATGAACAGACACCACCTCAGAGGATATACCGATGACAAACACATGAAAAGATGTTTAACATCATCAGTCATCAGGGAAATGTAAATTAAAACCACATGAGATACCACTTCATATCTATTAGAGGGGCTAAAATAATAATAGTGACAATATCAAATCCAGGCAAGAATGCAGACAAGCTGGATCTCTCATACATTGCTGTTGGGTGTGTAAAATGGCACAGCCATTATGGAAAAGAACTTGGCAGCTTCTTAAAAAAAATAAACATGGACCTACCATCCCACCCAGCAACTATACACCTGGCCATTTGTCCCAGAGAGACTATATGTACAAAAAACCTGTACACAAATGTTCATAGCAGCTTTATTTACAATAGCCCAAAACTGGAAATGACCTAGATGTCCATCAACAGGTAAATAGTTAAACAAACTATGGTACACCCACAATACTGTGGAATACTACAGCAAAATAAAAAAGAACAGACTATTGATGCATGTGACAACTTTATCTCAAGGAATTATGCCTAATGAATGAAATAAAAAAAAAACCCTACCATCCAAAAATTGCATACTTTATGATTCCATTTGTATAACATTTCAAAAACTGTCAAGATTATAGAAATGGAGATCAGACTAATTGTTGCCCGGGGTCAGGGAAAGGAGGGGAGGATAGTGAGTGTGCCTATAAAGGGGCAACAGGAGGAATTCTTGTGGTGATGGAACTGTTCTGTATGTTGACTGTATCAATGTCAATATCCTGCATGTGATATAGTTTTGCAAGATGTTATTATTGGGGGAAAATAGGTAAAAACACCACAGAGACTTTTTTTTTGTATTATTTCTTAAAAGTACATGTGAATCTAAAATTATCTCAAAATAAAAAGTTTAATAAAAAAAAGGACAAAAAGAGAGGAACATGGCATAGACTGTAACAATACAGATGCTGGAGCTTGACTACCTGAACTTTAATCCTGGCTCAACCATTACCAACTGTGTGACCAGGGGCAGATCATAAAACCTCTATGTTCTCCAATTTTCTCATCTATAAAATGGAAATAAAAATATTGCCTATCTTATAGGGTTACTGTGAGGATTAAATAATATGACATCTGTAAAGCATTGTCAAGTTGCTAAACATATAGTAATCGTACAATAAATATTAGCTATTATTAATAATAGAAATAATTTTATTATAATGGTATTCAGAAGACAAAAGTGTCCTGTTGGTTGTTCATCTTCCCAAGCTACAAAAATCCTTTCTCTAACTGCTCTTTCAACTCTGAGTCGTTTACCTATTTTTCAAACACTATTCTAAAGCTATACAAACAAATTATGCCTGTGTACAATGTGTAAAATGAAACTCACACAAATTTTTAAATATATAGGCTTACTTAACAGTTGAAGTAAAAGGTATAGAAGCGAAACCGACTGGAATAGTGTTATTAATCCCAGGTGATGTCAGAGGTTTTAGACTGAAGGCCAAGCCACTGGTGGTTGTGGTTGTGGTTGTTGTGGTAGTGGTAACAGTGGTAGTGGTGGTTGTTGATGTTGTAGCTAGAAAATAAAATGTAAAATGTTAGAAAGGAATGAGAAACATTTTCATTCAGTCATTGATCAGTCAGGATAAAAACCATATACACATTATTTGAACTCAAAGTTGTATGGATTTGAACTCAATGTTGTTGTAATGCGAAGAAATATATGTCAGGCCAAGTATCTGGATAAACCTCCCTGCTGAAAACTAACACTCCTGGATAAATTTATAGAAAAATAAAATTTACAACCTAACCAGACCTTCAACCATTAAAGAAACTGAATCAATCCCCAAAACTCTTCCCATGAAGAAAACTCCAGAACCAGATGACCTCACAACTAAGTTCTACTAAACTTTCAAGGAAAGAATTGCAACCTTATACGAATTCTCTGTACATCCATATCCTTGCATACTTACATGAATACATTTGTGTAATTAATTTCTAGAAATGAAATTACTGGGTTGAAGGGTCAGCATGCTCTAAATTTTATATATCTTGCCAAATTGCCATACCAAAAAGATTTTGCCAATTTACATTCCTATCAATAGGAAAGAATATCTGTTTCTCTACATCAAAGCCCATACAAGGCATACATCTTTGCCAGTCTAATAGGTAAAAGTCTCTCAAAATTTTATCTACAGCCTAGGCCTGTCTCCTGTGTGTCTTTTTCTATTGTCATCTCTACTAGAATGTCCTGCCCTCTGTAGATGAAATGCTCAGTATACTTCATGGCTTAGCTCAAATTCCTCCTTCCCCATGTTTATTGCTCATTTTTCTTCTATTCATCGTTACATCTTGGTTTTCTGAACTTCTATAGCACTTTTGTTTTTTCCTACACCCTAAGCACTTAAAGAACAATGAACAGAAAATTGTGGCTGGGGTGGACTGGAATTTTTTTTTTTTTTTTTTACATTTTGGTTCTCTGTAATTTCAAATGTTCTTGTAATTAATAAATGCTACTTCTATAACAAAAATTGTTACCTGCCAATACACATGCACTGCCTATTCTAAAGGAAATTGGTCTACTCCATTCTTGCTCAGGAATCAGGCTCAGACACCCATTCTTTATTCTAGTAACTTTGTCCTTTGATCCTGGTTCACAGTTGTTTGGGACAAGGGTGGGCATCTGAAGTATGGGAAGCCATCCCATATGCTACTGCCAGTCTATGAGAAGGTCTGGCATAAAAAAGCTGTAGCCAGATATAAGATGGGTCAGAATCTTATTTTCAAAAATTTAGAGCTATAGAAAGAAACAGACTATTGGTAGAAATCTGGAAATATTTCCAAAAGTGTAGAAAGAATCAGACTATAGGCAGCGGGAGTTGGAAGGACTGACAGAGAAAGAATGCGAAGTAGAATTAAGGGGCCATGAGCAAGTCAAAATTAAGAATAAGCTAAAACAGTAATGCAGAAAAAGGGGTAAGGAAACCAATGGGAAGTTAACAAAAGAAAAAAGAAGTTGACAAAGGGAGAACAACTGAATTATGTTTATGTCATATTAGATTCTGGAGGTCTCTATAGCTGCTTTTTGAACAATTTTTAAGTTCCAATTTTATTGAAGTTCAGTGCCACAACAATATCTGTATTAGATTCCCACAAGATTCCATTTCCCATTTGGCCACAAGGATCCTTATAATACCCCCCCCATTCTTTGTGCTGGCCTCTGTGAGGATGGAATGAATGCCACAGGGAAAGATGATGCCCAATCATAAAGGATCCTTGTGATCACTATTAGTCAAAACACTGGAGAGACTACTTGGATCTTGTGTGGCATTATTTACAGCCATGTCACCCCTTTCTTCATCTGAGAATAACAGTGTTATCTAAAAATAAATCTTTCCCCAGAAATTCTAAAAGTTAATGACACCATCAAGACTTCATTCATTCAAACACTGGGCAACTACTATATTCAAAACTGGAAAACAATTAAGTAAAAAAATGAGTCCTTCTTGTAAAGAAGCTTATCTTCCCCCAAAGATTTTTTTAAAAAGTAATTATTATTTTATGACATGAACAGATATATAAAGATGATGTATACTTAAGAGAAAACAGCAAAATCTAAGATTATGTGTGTGCATATATATACACACATATCAAATCCCATTTTTGTAGAAATAAATTTAATGAAGTTTTGTGTGTGTTTGGAAACAAGGCTGGAAAGAGAAACAATAAACCGTTCTCTCTAGAGGGAATGACATATATATATGTATATATGTATATATATACATGTGCATGTATATATATATATGTGCATGTATATATGGTTTTTATAATTTAGAAAAAGCAAACTACTATTCCTACCACTAAAGAAACAACTAAGTAGGCAAACAAAATACTTCCCAGAGATGATGAGTGATACCTTCAGGAAATTAATATCTGTCAGCTTAAACATAAAGGAATCATGAGTCATAAAGAATGGTATGATTATTTAAAACTTTTTATACAGTATTCATCTTTGTTTCTGATTTTTTATGCCATTTAAAAAAGGTATAAATTAGCTCTGGCAGAGGTGAGGAGGGAATGTATAAAAAAAATAGCTCTGGCATAAGAGATAATATTTAAATAACAATAATGTTTCAATTAATACCAAAAGAGGCAATAGATTTGGGAATAAAGGTTCTATTACACTCTGATTTTGCAAGTTACAACTTTGGTCTAACTAAATACAGTCAACTCTACCTATCTGTATAGTAAAAGGGAAGCACGGTTCTATAAATAAGAGAAAATAATCGCATGCCAAATTTGGATTTACATTTAAATAAATCTCATTCTGATGGTCTTAAAATCATTATATAAAATAGTGAAAACATCCTTTCAAAGATTCTACTGTCCAGTTTTCCTATCCTGTCCATGCTGGGAATGGACAGCATTACTTTCTCAGACTCATATAAAAGATGACAGTGGTAACAAGCAAACTTGTCTTAAAACTTGCCGATTATACCTAAGGTGGAGAATAATCCCGAATGGTTATAAATTTGCAGACACAGACACTTGAAAGCTACTCTGTAAGGCTGATTTGTGAGATGAAGAAAGTGATCAAGTGAATATACTTAGGGAGAAGGAAAAGTGAGTAGGGGGAAGAAATAACTCTGGGTTGCAGGTGTAGAGTTGAGACTTATTTGATGAAGAGGTGGGTAAGTACATAAGATAGTGGTGAATAAAATGGCAATAAGGGGTGAGCTGATAGCAAAGGTACCAATTTGCAGGAAGGAATTTGAGACTTAGATAGGTAGGGGTGGGCAATGGCAGAGTCACCAAAAAGCCTGTCAATTAGTATTTCAATGACTCAATATTTCACTTCATCTCTAAGTAAACTTTTAAAAATAAAAACAAACAAGACTTCCCTAAAATGGAGTCTGATTTAAATGGTAGGTTTAAGTGGCAATTGTCCTCTAACTTCCTGGTTCACTCTAGCTATAAGGCAATGGGTAACCAAGTTTTCTTCAACCTACAACCTAACTAGCTCCTAAGTGACAGAAACAAATTTAGGTTAGGTCTACAGAAACTCTTGTAATCAGCCTTAGAAGGTCAACTTTAATGTAGGTCAAAAATTAACTTTTAGAGAAAAAATTCTATATCAATCTCAATATATTGGGTCAATTTAAACACTATTATCAATAATAAAAATACTTAAGTTTAAAAGTTGATAAGAATTTGATAGTTGCTTTGATTGTAGTTATCTCAAAGAAGTAATATCACTGATATCAACTGTCTCATTCTACTCTCTGGTAATAGTATTGCTGTACCTTTTGAATACTCTGATGAGGTGATCAAAATCTACTTAGTCCTGTAAGCAACAGAATACAACCAACTTACTGTCTACTATGCAGTACATTTCCAATGAGTGCCCAAATATGTCCCAAAAATTCTAAAAACTTACTAGATACAGTAGATGCTGCTCCACCCTCTCCAGAGAATTTTAATCTAAATCCCATAGTTATATCACCAAGCATTCCAGCTGAAGTTGTTGGGGCACCAACTGCAGAGAACAACATAATATTACTATTATACTTTTAAACAAAAATATTGAGGGATTTATATAGTCTTTTTCATCTCAAGGGTCCTTTAGAAGCTTTTGGATAAACTTCAAAAACCTATGGTCAATCCATTTATATGAAATGTGCAGAAAAGGCAAGTCTGTGGAGACAGAAAATAGGTTAGTAGTCATCTGGGGCTGAGAGATCTTATTAGGGTGGTAGAAATGTTCTAAAACTGGATTATAGCAATAGTTATACAACTCAGTAAACTTATTAAAAACGCTGAACTGTACACTTAGGACAACAAAGACAGAAGGAAAGGTCTGAGGACAAGTATTTGATTAAAAATGGAATTCATTCAACAATTTTAACTCCCAACCTCGGACATGGTCATATTCACAAAATCTATTGTAGTTGAGAAAGATATTGCTTACATATATCAAAAGGTTTCTAGAATCTCAGTCATGTCTCAAAATTAGAAATTTACTTGATAGAAAATACAACTCAAGTGGTAACCAGCAATTTTAACTGTTTACCTATGCCAACTGCACAAAAGGATGGGGATGGTAGGCCACTAGTTTTTACTCTCAGCTAAGCATCAGCTAGGATTACAATAATAAAGTCTAATGATGAACATCACGGCCCTGGGAAGATACCTCGAAAACACAGTCAACTTATATAGACCTGTTAAAAAGAACTACCTAACACATATACAGAATTCAATATCCTTAACATTTGCTTTTATTCTGCTAATGGAAGATGTGTAGCAAAGAAGTTGAGGTTGCAAGATAATTAATGTCCCACTTTTTAGCTCGAAGCATCCAGATGTTCCCTTCAAGGGGGGAGGCCATAAGACATCACATAGTGTCAATTAAAATCTCAAATTACAACTGGTCCTTGTCATGTAACCCTTCTGATATGTAAAATGTAAGGAATACGAACTTGGTCTGTATAGAAGAATATACTCTAACAAGGCTTCAACTTTTATTTCCTATTTTATATTATTCGCATGGATAATAAGACTTTTTCCCTTCAGACATACTTGGCAAAACTCCCACTTCCTATTCCCATTAGCTTCAAAAAGTTTCAAAACATTACAATGTTAATGAATTATATGCTTAAAATTATCATTTTAGGCTATAATAATCATGTTAATATAAATTCACAGCTAAAGCCATGACAGTTAGGTTGTTAAACAAAGCTACTATTGCTATCAGCAGTTACAGATGGGTTCAAGCATAATGATAATTTATGAGATGCAAGAGACCCACGGCTTATATTGGAAAATTGAGTTAAGTGGTCTCATGCAAAATAACAATATTTTCTTTGCAACCAGTAACTTACATGAGAGCCCAGTAGCAGCAGTGGAGGTGGAAATATTTGAGATTGATGTAAACAGCATGGTGCTGGAACTAGTAGTGATGGCAACAGTGGATGCTGGAGTCAAACCTAAAAATCAAAGTAACAAGTAGAAAAAGATGTCACACTGGAAACTACAAGATATTGTTGAAAGAAACTGAAGAAGACACACAAAAAAATGGAAAGTATTCCATGTTTATGGTTGGAAGAATTAACATTGTTAAAATGTTCATATTACCTAAAGCAATATACAGATTCAGTGCAATTCCTACCAAAATCCCGATGGCATTTTTCACATAAATGGAACAAAAAATTCTCAAATCTGTATGGAACCATAAGACCCTGAATAACCAAAGCGGTCCTGAGAAAAAAAGAACAAAGCCAAAGGTATCACATTCCCCAGTATGATACTGTCAGAAAAACAGATACACAGTCCTCTGGAACAGAATTGAGAGCCCAGAAATAAACCATATATATATATACAATAAAGAAAGGAAAGTCTCTTCAATAAATGGTGCTGGGAAAACTAGACAGCCATGTGCAAAACAATGAAATTGGACCACTATCTTAAAACATACATAAAAACAATTTTTAAAACATCACTATAACAAGGTTCATTTATATGCAGAAATAAAAACAAAGCAAGGAAAAGCAGATACCCTGAAATCTCATAAATATGACACAGTAAAAGCCCGGTTAAAAAAAATAGTTCATTAGTACTGTTTAGGATAGCCAGCCCTCCAGCACCATTGTAATAAAGAAATTCTACTGTACTACAAAAGTAAATATAAGAGGAGGATCCAATTCCAGAATTGCACATTAGAGGTCCTGGAGACCCATTCCCAAGTGAAACAACCATAACTGATAAAAAAATATATTAAAAAGTTTGAAATCTCTGAAAATGGTCCTAAAGGTATATAGCAAATGAAGAAACATTTATTCAAGAAAATCTGCTAAAACTCAGTAATACCAATGAGAGTCTGCGGCATATGAGTTACAACCCACTCCCTTCCTCCATCCATCATCCTCCTCACTTTGATGAGCTACCCTTGCTCACCTAAAGCTATACTTCAGAAAGGAGTGGCCAAGAAGACTAGACTCCCTTGTTCCCCAGCTCCCGCTCAAGGAATCCACTATTCTATTTGGAGGGTCAAGTAGCCAGAATTTTTCATCACCTCCAACACAGAGTTATAGTGCTGAAATTCTTGTGAGTACAGCCAAGAGTTACGGGCTCCCTTCTTCCATTCAGCCCCCAAAGGGCAGAGGCTCTGCACCAGGCACAGCAGGCAGAGAATACTGGGGTGCCACTACCCTTACCTTGCTTGCCTTGCCCCAGCTCACTTGTAGGGCTGAGGTTCCATGCCTGAAGAGATAAGCAAGAAGAGGAGAGGCAATTTTCACTGCCAAGAGCCCAAAGCAATGGTTCAAAGATTTTGCTCAGGGATAAAGGCAGCCCATAAGAACATAGATCTTCCCAAAAGAGCTGACCTTATTTGAAACAGAGTGTGAGGAAATTCAAGCCAAAGGACTCACTCTCAAAAAAAAAAAAAAAATGGAGATTTGGGTGGTAAGCAATTAAGAGGAGGCAAATAGGCTATACTATTTGGAGGGCTGGCTATACTAAACAGTACTAATGAACTATTTTTTTTAATCAGTCTTTTACTGAATGGAAGAAGGGAGCCTGTAACTCTTGGCTGAGGCAAATAGTTTCATGAAAGCAACAATTTAAGCTATAGGCCAGCT